CTGCTGCTGCTGCTGTTGCTGTTATCTAAAGCGGTGGCGGAAGCGTCCTGTTCAAACAATCAGCAGCAGCAGCACCAGCCGGGGATTTTTTCAACGTTTTTTTTTTCCTCTCTAGCTGGTGGCGATGGATAGCACCCCCCCCTCACGACTGACGATGGATATCACCCCCCTCGCTAGCTGATGATGGACACCACCCCTCCCTCTAGCGAGTGATGATGGATACCACCCCCCTCTCTAGCTGGTGATGATGGACCGCCCCCCGTTCTTCTGTACGACGAGAAAATCACACGAGCCAGCCAATGAACAGACGCACGAGCCTACTGCAGGTACTTTTGTGCAACCACCACAAAAAACTGTTCCACCTCCAACTCTTGTATACTCCCCATTGTAGCACGACACACCATGGTAACATGGTCTGGGATAGTAAACGTGGGCACTGCTCCATGACGGTAGATCCGTTCGATCGGACAAAACTCAAGCAAGACGCGAGACACACCCTTGACAGGTTGCACGAGACATCCTGAGCACATACGTGTTGTGTCGCTCGTTGCTGCTGTCTATTCTAGGATACGGACGAGATCGGGTTCCGAGTCGGAGACATGATCCACGTGCTAGAGAAGAAGGCCGAGTGGTGGAAGGGGACCGTCGGCGGCAAGACCGGCCTGTGAGTTTCATAGCAGCGCCGCCCGCACCCATGGATGCACGCTAACAGGGCTATTGACGCTTGTTTTTTTTGTCCTTCGATAGGAACGCAAGTATTTTTTCTTGCCAAAGCTGTGGTCCTGGCCGTCTTGTGTGAAAGTTTGGGTTCGTCCTTTGGCTGGGGCTCTCTTACGGGGCTCCAGCTTTGTCGAAACAACGGTTTCTGTTGTCCACAGCGGTTTCTGGGAAGGACCGGTTTGCTGTTGTGAATCTCGCTTTTGAACAGGATGCCAAGTGTTACGGTGTTGAGATGGTCGTTTCCCCCGTTTTTTCTTCTTCGCCTGACCCTGTCTGCAAATGGGCGAGTTTATCGTCAAGGGGTGAAAAGGCGACTTGCGAGAGAGGAGAGGCGCGCAACAGGAAGCAGTCACAATATGAGGAACGCTGCTGGTGCAGCTACCAAAGTCAGCCCACGCGCGGTCGCTTCCATCCCCGGAGACCCTCACGATGCGCCTTGTCGTTTTCCCCTTGAGCAGTATTCAAAACGAGTACATTTATCAAACACTCCCCTTTCAGACCTCTCGATGTTGTCTCGTACACCCGTTGTCGTTGTCGTTGTCGTTGTCCATCACATCCCACCCGCTCGCAGCTTCCCCAGCAACTACGTGGAGCGCCAGGCCGTTACTACTGCCGTCCAACCATCGGCTACCGCCACCGCGGCTACCACGCCCGCCGCCGCCGCCGCCGCCGCCGCCGCCGAGGCCACGGCGGCAGCGGCCGCCGCAGCGCGCGCAAGGTCCACCCGGAACACCGGCCTGTCCTCGCCGAGACGGCGCGCGACCATGGCGGCGACGGCACGCACCGCCGCGGGCACCACCATCGATTCGCTGGACCCTCTGGCTTCGCCGACCCGTCAGCAGCATCGGCGTACAGGGACGCCCCCGACGGCACGGTCGGGGTGGGGGAGCCCCAACAGACCGGTCTCGATGCGGTCCCCTTCGTCGCTCATGTCGAGGATGCCCTGGTCGCCCACGGGGAGGTCGGCATCCGCGAAGGTGCCCCCCCCCCCCGGGAGCGGGGTGGCCGCCTCGACTGCGGTGCCCCCTCCCCCGCCGCCGGCGGCCCAGACGCCCGTGCCTACCGTCGTGCCGCCCTCCGTCCAGGTGCCGGCACCACCGGTGTCGGCGGCGACGGCGACGCACGTCGGGGGGGCGGGGAGCGGGACGGCTACGAGCGGGCAGGGGCTGCCGCTGTCGGCGCCCTCGGCGGGGAAAGCGTCGAACAAGCTTTTCGGAGGGGCGAGGAGCTTGCTGAGAGGAATGTCCACCCCGGTGATTGGTGCCGGCCCTTTACAGTGAGTAACGGGTCGTAGTAAATGGTGGAGGGGTGGAAAACGGCGTGTGATAGATACGGTACAGGTGCCGCGGGCGAGACATCGGGGTTCGTGCAGAGGTGACGCGGCGCCGCGCTAGTGGTACGAGTTCGCTTCGACAACGTTGCATGCGTTCAGTGCGGTAAATTCGGTCTGACGTCGTTTCGGCCCAAGTGCCGGTTCGCGCATGTTGTCCGTTTTGGGACGGATTTTTACGTTCGATATTGTAAGCCCAGTTCCCCGTATTTTCGAGTCTGCAGCATCGACAATGCATCTGCACTCGTTCCTTCATGCAATGACTCGCGAATCGCGCCGTTCTGTTTGTTCGTCCGATGACATGGTATGGCGGTCCTCTTCCTTGTTGCAGAGGAGGTCCGAAGCTGTCGTGGCAGACTTGGGCGTTCGCCGACATCATGGCGGACGCCTACATGAAGAAGCGCACGAGCGAGATCCCGGACCTGGTGGCCTTGGCGGCTAGCGCGGCCTTCGTGTCGAAAGCTCTCGGAGCCCTAAGCCAGGCGAGTGGGGTTTCGTAAGTGCGGCCATGTTTAGGGTGTTTGATTTGTTGGGGGGGTATCTGCGGTCGTGGTCACGATGAGTCGCCTGTCCAGCACTCTTCCAGAAGGGGGGGGAGGGGTGTTTTATGGCGTTGCGCCGTCAGGAAATTGGAAGCCGGGGTCTTCGAGCCAACCACATGGGGAAAAAATCATGGGATTTGTTTGATTTTAACTTTTTTGGGGTGTTTCAAGAATGTTGGGTCGTCTATATAGTGCTTACCACTCTGCTTGACCGTAGAACCTCCTCGCCTTCGTCTCTTCTATGTCCTTGGTTGTGTCTCTTTGTGTGTCTCTTGCGTGTCTCTGTCTCTTCTGTCTCTTCTGTCTGTCTGTCTGTCTGTCTGTCTGTCTGTCTGTCTGTCGGTCGGTCGGTCTTGACTGCAGGTGTCGCAAAGCCCTATCCAGCGCCAGTTGCACCGTGTCTTGGAGGAATGCGGCGAGAGCTGCAGCAAGTTCCGCGTGGGTGTGGGAGACAATCAGGCGTTTCTCATGGTGAGGCAGCAACAGCAACAGCCGCGCAATATGTTTAATTACAACAGTAGTGCATCACCCTTGTTCTGATTGCCAACATGCTCCATGTGCAAACGTACTTGCCACGGTTGGCGGAACCGCAAGCCTGAAAGTCTACGAGGCCTCATCTATTTTGAACATGCAGCAATAAGAATCATGATCCCCTGTTAGGTCTATCGAGGCCGAAGGTTAAGGTTTCCCCAGAGCTTTCCGGTTAACCTTACCTTACCTTACCGTAGGTCGAGTGCCAGTGAGGTCCTATGTTTCGTTTTTGCCAGAGCGTGGAAGCAACGTCTCTTGCCCATTGTGCTCGATGTAGAACAGAATAGTGTACTCGTGGTTTATTTTTCGTGTTATGTTTGTTTTTTTGGTACTTCCAAGAGGTGTTCTTTTGTCTGGCGAGCGAGCGGCACACCGAGGTTTCATGGGAAAGTAGGCCAGCGTCCGCCCTTAATGGGTGGGGCCGGGTCCCTTCTCGCGCCGTAGTTCAATTGACCGAGGAAGTAGACGTGTTTGAAAACATTTGTTACAGCTAACATCGGCAAGCCGTTCATCAGCAAGTGTGACGGCGGCGGTGTTGATGAGACGCTCTTTCGAACACGTTACCACTTCCTCTGTCGATTTCCCATCGCGTTCTGCCGCTATGATAAATAGTTCCTCAACGGCTGGGTCCAGAAGATCAGGGGGCTCGGCGTGGGGGACCTAGGGATGGCGCCGTGCGGGTGGGTCCGGGCCGACGGCACGGGTCATTCCGTGATCTTCGTGGTAATGAGGCGGGACGCCGAGGTGTTTTCCGTGTCGATCGTCAACCCTCACGGGGAGGGGACGGAGTACCACGCCCAGGAGGCGGACCCAACCCGGGGGAAGGTACGGTACGCGCCGTTAATGATGTGGCTTTACTGGTATATCTAGTAGTTGAGTGGGGTAATCTAGCTCCCAAGGGTATCGGAACAGGAGTGACTGCCGAACTGTGTCGATAGCGAGAGAAGGATACCCGTGTCCGGCGAAATGTGGGTCAAGGGTGTGAAGATTCTGGGGTAGGAGACCGCAGGGGGAACCACCCTTTGCGCCGGGGGTGACGCATGTCGTGGTTGGGCGGTAGGTAGGATCGGGAGTACCGAGGCGTGGGAGGCTGACTGCCACCGGGATGGCATGTGTCGAGGAGGAGTTCGGGTTTGGATTTGGACGTGTGTGAGGCTGATGATCCGCTGGGCGAGGAAAGGTGCGTGTGGATGGGGGGTGTAGGGTTTTAGGGCCTTAGGCTGCCCTGCCTTCTGATCGTCGGTTGCGGTCTGGCGTTGGTGGTTGAGGTCCTGGTATGTAAGATGTCAACGTTAATGTTCACCCTACCTCTTTTTGCATGTTGTCGGTCGAACGGTGGCGAACGTGGGTTTTTTGTCGCGTCCCTTGTATAGCGGAAGGTCTTGCACACTTTAGAATGTGTGTGTCGTTACTTCCGGTTCTGCCCGGCCTCGGCGCGGTAACATGCACCACTGACTGGGCAGGTGGTTGGGGTTCGGGTGGTACGATAGTCCTACAAGCCACAACCAATACTTCCAAGCAGGTGGCACCGATGAATAGGACTTTATCGCGTTTCGCTGTTTGTTTACTTGTGATCGAGGTCCTCCAACAATTAACTTTGTTCTGCTGCGGTGTCGGCTGCTGGCAGATGAGGTCGGTGGCGTCGCTGCTGCTGAAAGACGTGCCCGGGTACCGTGTCCGAGACTCGTCGTTCTGGATGCTGGCGTACCGGCAGCTGGTGCACGCGAGGCCTGAGAACGGGCCGGAACACTTGTACGAGAGGCTCCTGCCCTACCTCAACTCTCGCCCCCTGCTGTCCAACGTGCCTGCGGGCCTGTCTCAACACGTGAGGTTTATGTTTGTGGATTTTTTTGTGGTGGAGATTTCCTCCACGATGGGTGCTTTTGTCTCCCGTACGCATACGTCTTTCGACGACGATTCACGCGTTAGTTTTTCTTTGTTTCTTGTTTATAGGATTGATTTTGTCGTATGTACCGTGTTTACTGCTGTGTTTGGCTTATCAGGTTTTCTCTCCTTCGTGTGCTTGTCTTATGGTGTCCGTCCAGGTCTCTCTTCCCGATACGTTCACCCAAGCCATGCCTTAAAGCGGTTGCTAGAGCCCGTCGGTTGATGCGATTGCTGCTTCCGTCGTGAAAACACGAGAAGTGTCCTCCCGTTGAGGGCCGAACTTTAGCTTCGGGCCGGAAGCACTACTGCTCTGAGTTTAAGCAAACACGAACCCCACTCCTTGATTTGGCCAGATTTTGTTTGCTGTATTTGTCGGGGAGAACTCATCACACCTTCTCGAACCGAGAGCAGAATAGTTGGGGTTGGCATCGTGTGGTGGTGGAACCCGTCAGCATGTGTTTTTGAAATTTGTACTTCCGTTCGACTTGTCTGCAATGTCAATGTAGCAATCAGGCCTCGCGAGAGCGATGCTCGGGGTATGGATTTCCGGGGCAGACAAAGCAACCCTTCGGGGGGCATGGTTTTCCTGCCCCGCGCGGACCTTGGTTGTACAGTTTTCACCCTCTGGAATCGTCTCTGTTGAAATGGTCGCGTACGTTTGCGCTTCTTGTCAATCTATTCTTGTTGCTGCTCCTGCTGCAGCTGCCTTGCTTTTGCCGTAGGGTTGCTGCTGCTGCTGCTGACGATGATAATGATGCTGTCGCTTTTGGCGTTGCAGGCGGAGATCGTGTTCCGGACACCTCCGCGAGGAGGAAACCCTTCGAAGGCACGCACCATTTGGGAAGCTGCCCGTCACTGCCTCCATCTCATGGGCCTCAACAGGCCCCAGGTGTGTGTGGTTAGGTTCTGTCATGGTTCTGTCATAGTTCTGTCATGCCTCTGCGGTTGCTCACACATCCAAGCGTGCTGCCATCCCCTCAAGCATGCTGCGGATGCCGCATAATCCTTAGGGTTCTGTTTTGTGGCCTTTGGGTTCGCTTACAGTCCCCTCACTGCCGGCTGTTGCTATCCTCAGCTCGTCCCCCCCCCCCCCCCCCCCCC